ATGTGAAAAGGGTAAATTAGGAAGCCCCAAGTAAACTCCCAACTTTCTAAAATTTCTCTGGTCATAGCAGAGTCCAGACACTTGACCACGGTTAGCCTGCGGAGGACTACTACTATTCACTGTTGCACTTTTCCTTTCTCCTTAATCACTCTCTCTCTGTTACCATACCGTAAGGCCATTAATGGAGGGAACTCGACTTTACAAACTCTGCCTGTCTCTCAACAAGACTCATCTCTCTAACTGAGGGTAAGTAGGAGTACTAAATTCCAAAAAGTGACAGCAACATCTTCAACCCTTCTGCCTGTGGCGCCATCTGTTCACCAAACCTTCTTTCAAAACTTTCTCCTAAATCGTCCAAACCCAGTCCTCTCTCTGCCCCCTTCTTTCTCTCTCTTTAGATTACCGTAAATCATTCACTCCCTCCTCGCTACTAGTATTTACTTACTAGTACTATATCTATACTAGCACGTATTCAATTGTACCTGCCTGCTGTAGTCTTTTTTTTTTTTTTTTTCTTTTTTCCTTCTCCAAAAAAAAGAAAAAAAGAAAAGCATATATATAGTTTTCTCTTCAAGAAACAGTGGTATGGACTTGGAAGAAAAAGAGAGCACTGAATCCGGGTCACCCGGGAAAACTGAGTCATCCCCGCCGGTGAGCGGTGGTGGCGAAGGGATGGTGTTGCCAGTGGTGATGAACATGGCCGTGAGCATGAGCATGGAGAACAGCCTTGGTGTGAGTGCAGCCACCATGGAAGGAGGAGGAGGAGGAGGAGGTAGTGCTGAACCTGGTGGTGGGGTGGTGGTGGGGAGTGGTGGTGTGAGTAGCAGGAGTGGTGATCTGGGGTTGCTCAGTGGGTCCAGGGGTAAAAAGAAAAGAGGAAGGCCAAGGAAGTATGATTCGGAAGGAAACTTGCGACTTCCATATATGGCTACGCCTACAAACCCACCTGGCTTTACTTTGACATCACCAACTTCTCCTCCTCACTTTTCCTCTTCTTCATCGAAAAGGGGCCGTGGTAGGCCTCCTGGTTCTGGCAACTGGCAACTTCTTGCTTCTTTGGGTTAGTTTTTCTTTTCTTTTTCTTTGGTATTTTTTTCTTCCTTGCATCTCTCTCGTCATTTTAATAATGTGAATGGAATTTTGCAGTATCCGTGTATACGCACGTACATGTGAAATTTTTGCTTAAAAAAAGAAAAGAAAAAGAAAAAGAGAATTTAGCCTTGCCAGGAAACTTCTAGTGTTGCTTCTGTTATCAACAAGTATTTCTTTCTTGAGATTGGGGCTTTGATTGGAAAGGAATTAGGTAGAACAAGAGTTAGGGTTGCTCCATAGCGCTTTCCTTGGGAGACTTTCCAATTACTGCGACTGTGAGTAATCTTTAATGATTCTGTACCCTGTATGATGTATAGGAATGTTAAAGTTTGCAGCTTTCATTAGTCGTAAGTTACTCGTGTGTTTTTGTGTGTGTGAGAGAGAGATAGAGAGTGAAATAAAAGACTAACTCTGGTAAAAGCAGGCTAATTTATTTCAGTAATTAGTTTATGGTACTGATTTCTGATATCGGGTTACTTTGATTTATTAAGGTGAACTCTTTGCAAGCACAGCAGGTGGGGATTTTACACCTCATGTGGTGAATGTCTATACAGGAGAGGTAATATTGAAATGGATGACATGGCCTCTGTCATCTCTCTCTTTTATAAGTTTATATGCGGAGGACAAACCCCTGCAGTTGATTAGTTATGCGAATTTACATTGTCATGCAGGATGTTGCAGGAAAGATCCTTTCATTTGCACAAAAGGGACCCCGGGGTTTATGCGTTCTTTCTGCAAATGGGACTGTTTCCAATGTTACAATTCGCCAGCCTGGTTCTTCTGGGGGTATCTTGACATACGAGGTATGATCATTCAATCCGTGGCTGTGGGAATCGTTTTCAAGTCTTTATTGTTGCTCTGCTGCATCACAGTTTGTTTACTAGTACAAGTTATTTGTGGACAGTAATCTTTGGGACAATAACTTTGGATATCATTTACTAACAATATGTTCAGTTTAATTCATCATTCTGGCTGTTCTTGTTGCGTTAAAAGAAGGTTGAGAGTTTTTCAGTTGTGGTCTATCTTTCTTTCCCTGTGAATTGATCTTACGTTAATAGAAGACTATTTTGGCTTTTCCAGTTCAAATCTTGCTTTTCAGTTACAGTAACTGACCTTCTCACATAAAGGAACATTCTTTTGGAGTTTTTTGAGCTTGCATCTAGCTTTTGTTACAGGAATGTTACAGTAACTTACCTTACTTGGTCCTCTTACGTTACAGGAATGTTATCTTGTTGTTTTTGGCTATCATCTTGGTGTTTTTGCTTCTTGTTAATTTATCTGTATGTGTTAAAGGAACTCTGGTTTGGAGCTTTTTAACCATTGCATTTTGAACATTATTCTGGAGTTTTTTGAGTTTAAATCTGTGTTGTTTACTTGCCGTTATTGATCCTCAAACGATAAAGAAACATTAACTTATTGCTTTTGGCTTAACATTACTTGATATCTATGTGTTAAAAGAACTCTCTATTGGAGGTTGATTTGTTTGAAATTTCCATTTATCTTACTTTTGTTTGTATTTATGGTAAAACTGTTGCCAAATAGAAATTGTTCATGAGATGAACTGTTCTTTTCATATTGCTGATGTACAAACGTCCTCATAAATGCAGGGCCGCTTTGAGATTTTGACGTTAACCGGATCATTCACAATTTCAGAAAATGGAGGCATCAAAAGCCGATCAGGTGGATTAAGTGTTTCACTAGCTGGTCCTGATGGGCGCGTGATTGGTGGTGGAGTCGCTGGTTTGCTTTTGGCTGCCAGCCCAATCCAAGTAGGCCTTTCTTATGTGCCACAATTTTGCTAGCATCTGTTTATCGCTGAGCTGCCTAATCTGTCATTACTTATTGAAATATAATAACTTTCTTTATGGGGAAAGAACGGTTTCATGTCTTCTTGTCAGCTTTTGTAACATGATATATAGGAATACATGTATTCTCTAATTACAGAGTTGATGCTTCATTTCCAAGGGAATGGCAAGGATATGGTATTCATAAAACATGATAAACTAGCGTAATTAACATCCCAGTACAAAGACCTCGCATGTTCAAGCAAAATTCTTTGAGATATAGTTGGGTATGTTATGTCTCTTGGAGATGTAGGCTTCATATGTCTTCTTTTGGTGATTGTAAAAGTACCTATGTAAGATAACCATAATGTGCTTTATCAGAAAGGATTTTTCTAATGAGTGCTTCGGGGGCACTTGGGCACCCATTAAGACACCTAAATTACACCTAATTTACCATGTGAATGCATACACTCGCCTTTATTCGCCCTTCCCCTGCAGGGGGGCATTTAGATACTTTTCAAATTAGTTTCACTTCTGCAAATAAAATTAGCACGTCAAGCTATCTGAAAAGTCTCCAGTGCAAGTTTGCTGATATCGTATCAAAGGGCATCATCCATGTGCCCTCTCTAGCTTAATGGATGGCTTTGCGACTTGTATAGTGTTTTCACTGTAGTTTAGAGATACAAATCATTGCACAGACACATTAGATATTTTTTTTGACATTCTTAAGTATACACTTGAGGGTACAAATTCTAGGAAAAGGAGTATGAAACACTCACTACATAATTCTAAATCACTCCTCTAGATGTTGATGGTGTGTTATTAGTCTGTGGTTAGCTTTCTCCACATAGACGTGGTCCAAGAGGCCATTAGGGTCATTTGTTGTTTAGAAGATTTTTGTCTGATAGTCCATTAAAATAAAGAGTAAATCTTATATATTCTCTAGCAGTATATACACTATCATTGTTCAATCCATGACATATGTGTAAAAATTGAATTTTAAATTCAAACTTTGCATAGTGTTCATTCATCTGAGACTGATAGTGTATGCACTATCAATGTAGAAAAGATTAATCCTAAAATAAACTGGCTAGAAAAATTACAAATATACTTATTGTGGATCATGGCCTTTCTGCAGATAAAGATTTCAGTTTGAATATCTTGTCACTGATGTGAAAACATTTAATGCTGTAGCTTTATCCTCTGCATGCTGATACTTAAGGTTCTTAGGAGTAGATTCGTCCTCTGTAATTTACTGATACTTAAGCTTCTTCCTATGAGTTTGGCATGGGTATGCATTCATTCTGATGCTTTGTAGAATCTCACTTGGGACTGCTACTGTTTGTATAATCTCCACGTGTGATTTTTTGTTGGAGGAATCCATGTGTGATTTCCATTAGCTTGGCATTGATCAGACGTGATATCACTATGTTCATTCTAGTTCTTTCTTCTTGGTAGATTGTGGTTGGAAGCTTCATGCCTAATGGTTATAAAACGCATAGAAGGAAGCACAATTCTGAACCCAGAACAGCAACTGCTGTGCATGGTGCTTTGGATGCTATAATGTCAGCTAAACCAGTATCTCAAGCACCACCGGAGAGCAACATTTTGCATGCCCCAACATTTAACTTGTCAGTAGAAACTAATGGGGAACTGGAGAACAGCACAAGCAATGCGGATAATCCAAATTCGACATCCACTGACAATGCTGATTGGAATGTTTCAGATCCCACACCAGATCAGAGGTCAACTCCTGATATAAATGTGTCTGTGACATTTGAGCAGCAATGAAGTTGGCGTGAGAGTTTGACTGCATCTTGAATGCGCTGATTGTAATTTGAGGATTGTAGGTTCATCGTGGAGAGGCATAGAGGCTGACAGGGTAGTTAAAAGAAGCTAATTTTACCCTTTTTATCTTGTATTTTCGTAAGGTACATGCAACTCTAGAACATTACATTAGGCTGCCGGTTATTTTATTTTTCCATATTTTTACATACTGGATTTGATGATGGAGCTTATAAAATGTCTGATTTATGTCCGTACTAATTCCTCCTCACCACCTTCTCTTCCTCTGGTTTTTGTTGTGCCAATTCTTAACGGGTTTGTGGGATCTGCTGAACTTAGTTGGAAATAGGGCAAGTCCCTGGTCCATTTAACTTGAAGAATAACTCCATACAGCACCTACGAAATGCCAAACTTTTATTCCTTTTTCAAGCAAGAAAAATAGTAGCCAAATGATTTGTTCATGTTGTAAGCTTTCTATCTGTCTAAAGCTGCCTTTGTTCTCTGAAAATGACGAACGACGCTTTCATAGTAGCCCCAATCAGGATGTAAGGCGGTTATTGCAGGCTGCCCAAGCGCATGTTCTTTCACATAAGAAGGAACTTCATCAGCATCCGCAAGGCCATCTAAGAAGACCTGCAATTCGCCTTTGGGACCTGGTGATTAAACAAGAGGATGAGGCATCTGTCGTACACTTTGCACAGTTATACGCAGTCGAACAACATATTTCAGTGTACCTAGAAATGTGTCCTTGCAGTTGTCTGACTTGTACGGGTGAGGGAAAATTGATGTATGAGGCTGCAGTCAAATATAACAGAACAAATCAGGGTCCTAAACACTAGTAAGAGAACCTTTATTATTGACTTTGTAGCAACAAAAGTACGCTGCCAGTTACAGGATTCAGGAGGGCCTTGCAGGGCTCGTCATCAATGAGCAATGTGTTGGATGATGAATATTTGCCACTCGGCCAAGGGAGACTACGGTCTTTGTTTTCCCAAACTTTGTTCAGGTCCTTCAAGAATAAGGGCTTCTGCTTGTTATGCAAGCTCCGAAATCCAGAGTCTATGCATTCTTCCTGATCCTGTTAAAAAAAAGAGAAATAAAAAAAAAGGTTCCCCAAGTTCAGATTTCGATTAAGCTCTTGGTTTTGTGACGACAGAATTTTAGTAAATGAAATTCTGGCCATAGCGGACATAGACATACATACCCACACAAAGGCAACCTTGCGTCTCACACTATCATCCATGATGAATCTCAGAACATAATCCATATTTCGTCTAAAACGAGAAAAATCGAGCAGAGGTTAAAAAACAATACAGAGAACCTTTTTTTTTTTTTTTTTTTGGGAATTTAAGGAGAAAGAAAGTGTGGAAAGATGATACGAGGACAAGCATAAGTAAGCTGTACGAACTCCCTGGCTGAAGACCATAATCCCACTTCAAATCGCTGGAAACAGAAATTGAGGAATTCACCACAAAATGGCCTCTTGAATACTGTAAGAAAAGAAGATGAAAATTTGGTTTAAGAGCTGAACGAAGGCCAACAATGCAAAAAAGGCTGCCCATAATTCCAGGAACATAACACACTGTACCCAGAAAGTTGCCGTAGACAAGATCCGGACGGCGGCCTTGGACCGAGGCCGAGTCGCGCTTGTGCACCCTGTGCGCCAACAAGCCGCCCAGACACAGTACTAGGAGTTTTTTACTGGGACCAAGCTTCAATTTCTCCAAGGAAAGGCCACCTAAGTCATCTGCTGCACCGTCGCTGCCGTCGTCATCCCCAACAACATTCTTCAGCTTCATGCCTTGGATTTTTGCTGCCATTTGATGATTCAAGAGCACCACGTGTCAATGATTTTCACAGCGAGAGAGGTAGAAAAGGAAGGTTAAATTTATAGATGGAGGAAGCGAAATGAATACGCATTTTTAACTAGGAGTTTTTTAAAAAAAAAACAAGTTTTTTACTGGGACCAAGCTTCAATTTCTCCAAGGAAAGGCCACCTAAGTCATCTGCTGCACTGTCCCTCTCGTCGTCGCTGCCGTCGTCATCCCCAACAACATTCTTCAGCTTCATGCCTTGGATTTTTGCTGCCATTTGATGATTCAAGAGCACCACGCGTCAATGATTTTCACAGCGAGAGAGGTAGAAAAGAAAGGTTAAATTTATAGATGGAGGAAGCGAAATGAATACGCATTTTTAACTTCTCTTTTACGTGTGTGTCAACTAAGGAAAATCTTTTGGAATTTCGAGGTTCATGCTCATGCATAGAAATACAGAGCCCCAAGGAGGCAGTGACCAATCGAATTCTATACATTCTATTCTTCCTTCTACTACTATTGTAATACTGAATTAAGTACACTAGGGGACCGTTTGCTTTCTCTAATGTTGTGGCTTTTCGTTTTTTTTTTTTAAATCTGACGCCGTCCCACTGTCGTTATCTGCTTCCCGCGGAAGATTATTATTGGTCCATTTTCTTTTTTGGTTCCCAAAGCAAAAAAAAAAAAAAAAAAGGCAAAAGGAGAGGAAATCTGAAAGGCAGAAGGAAGCAAAAATTCTGGGATATAATTTTTGTCATAAATTCCCCATTCCATTTCCACATGTTAATAGTCACTAGTAGTCTCAATTCAAGTAGTTCTCTTCGCCTTAGACAGTTGGGGGTTCATGGGCTCCACCTTGACGTCGATTACCTTCGAGTGTTAATCTAATTTTGTTGAGGATTTTCAATTATCTCGACAGTTGCAAAAAATCAATAAATTTGGTGAGACGTGTGCTCGGGGAGAGGGGGGATGAGATTCCATCCCACATCGAAAAATTGTTGGGTAGTTATCTTGGATTTAAGGTTCTCAACTGCACTTCCAGTTGCCAATTGGCTGGATGGTGTTGATTTGTGAATTTCATCTTAGATTGTGCTTTGCACCTTGCCGTGGATTAGCTTCGGGTGTTAATCTAACTTTGCCATCTCTTCAAATGAAAGTCCATTATTGGAATAGCAATTTTTTTTTTTTTTTTGGGGCTGCTTATGAGTTCGTTGAGCCCAGAAGCAAACTCTGGATAACACACCCTTTTTGGAAAGGCTAGAGGCTGCTTTATGCCAAACTTGAAGTGCAATTTACCATCTTTATCTTCCGTAGTAATACTAGTAGTACCATCTTTACCAGCTTCTGACCATTGCAAGAATCTAGAACAGTCGGAACCTTCTAGCTGGTCCTTGTCATCAATTCACCAGCACCTTCCAGCATCCTAGTCCTTATTCTTCTTCTATAAATAAATGAACAACCTACCTCGGGCGAAGAAATCAAGACCAAGATTGGCGAGTCGCACATTAATCTGCTTGCAGTGGTCTCGTTACTTTAGTGAAACCACGTACCAAATTTCAAAAAAAAAAAAAAAAAAATTATACTACTAGTGTATATAACCTCTTATTGTCTGGTGTTGAAAGAGAAAAGGTAATTCGGAAGAGAATGAAGCCCGTCGTTCACAAGGACAAGGAGAAGAAGGAGAAAATGGAAATCAGAGCGGATTGCAGAGCTGAAGAAGGGAGAAAGCACGTGGAAAGGGTCCAGGTGAAGACCCGTGATGTGGATACCCTCAAGTATATCGAAAGGAAGCTGATTGACAAAGGGGTGCAGAGAATGGAGCGCCACCCTGCAGATGGGCTGCCGCTGAAGCATGATCCCAAGAAGGGACATGGAGGGAAATACTCGTGGGAAGGCCCTGACGAAGAGTTCATGAATGAGCTGCAGGCCGCCCCCCCAGCCATTGATGAGAAGGATCCTAATTATGTGGATGAAGAGGCAGAGGCGAGGTTGGTGAAGCAGGGAGAAAGCGCTGCTGGTGATGACGATGATGAGGGAGGCGTGGTGGTGGGTGAAGTCGAGGCTCCCAAGCTTGCTGAGGAAGGGGTGGCAAGGATCGAAGTTCATCCTCATTCGACGGGCTGACCAATGGATGATTTTAAAGGATTTCCGACGGCTTCCGTTGGTTCCGGGGTCTCACGATGATCTCTTGTATTCCATCGTTGGTCTGTCACTATTGTGTGTTGGTTTATGCTGTGTGTCTTCGTCTAACACTACTAAGTGTGTGTGTGTATCAAAATGTTGGGAGAGATTCTGCATAAAACAAGAAACACTCCCGTGGCTTGTAATGACATAAAGATTTGCTGTTGTGTTCTGATTTAATTTGCAGCGGCTACGAGCTTCTTTCTATTCCTTTTGCTTATGAAATTTATTGGAATTAGAAATTTATAAGGGTATGCCCGGTATTTTGTTGTGTATTAATAAAATCTTGTCTACCGAAAATGTACAAAAGTCTATTCTTAAAAATCGAGGGTTGGCTCCTTTAATTTCCTAAAAAATGACCCTTGGTATTTATATATTAGGAATTTAGGGTATGAGGATATCTTTCCTTTACCAATAGCCATTTGAATGGTTGGTCATCACCGTAGCTTATTAAGGTTTAGTGGGGGTGCTTATTAAGGTTTAGTTGTGGGGGGGGGGGGGGGGTGAGAGGTCAAGATTTTAAATTTTGTCTTCCATCCTTTATCATTATATGTGACTGTCACTTGAAGTGATTTAAATTTTACTTAAATCTATACTGATCCGTGGGGCATCTATTTGATCTGACGATGATTCAAGTTTCGTTGATTTTTTCATGGTCCAAGTGAATTCTCTTTGTAAGTATAGGTTAAAGTAAGAGTATAAGTGAGTTTAGAATAGATAACTGTGTTTTTTTTTTCCAGCAACGATATATTTGTATAATCTACTCTATTCTAATCTAGGGGGAGGGGGAGCCTAAGGAGACTGTTGTAGGGGCTAGTGGGTATCCAGATTCAACTAGATCAAAAGAGTGCTATGGCACAATCCTTTAATTTTTTTTCGCTACTGGTGAAGTTTGAAGGCCACTGAGCCATTAGCCTTGATTGACCCAAAAAAAAAAAGTAAAAAAGTATCTGCCTCGGATAGGGATGGCAATGGGGACGGGTGCCCGCCCCGCGGGAGGCTCACGGGGCGGGGGGGAATTTCCCCCCCCCCCGCTTAGAAACGGGGCGGGGGGCGGGGGTATACTCCCCCGCCCCGCCACCCGCAAAAAAAAAAAAATATATATATATAAATATATATAAATGACTATATATTATATGTAAGTTAATTAGTTATAAACTTATGATAATGATATTATTAGTTAGATGTATTATATAATGTATATTAGTTTATGTAATATAATTGATATTATCAATTATATGAATAATTATACATGTCTACTAATAGAATTTATTAATTAGTTATACTAAATTTACTAATACATTTATACTAAATTTCTAATTACACTTAATAGAATAACACTTTTTTCTCAAAAAAAAAGCACAAACACAATGATGAATTAGTGATTGCATTTGTACTAAAAGTGAAAATTTGACTATTTTAGTTATATTTATTTTATCATATTGGATTGTATTCAAATAACTTCTGTTTGATTGTTTTTATGAATTTCAATTGTAAAATTACAATGAATAATAATTTGGTGATGTGTTGATATTTTAGTACTTGATTATTTATTAAAATTTAATTATAATAAAATTATATAATAAAATTTTATTAACCCCGCGGGGAAAGCGGGGCAAGGCTGGGCGGGGGCAGGGCGGGGCGGGGGACGGGGGGAACTAATAGGCAACGGGGCGAGGGACGGGGGAGGGGTCCCCCGCCCCGTTGCCATCCCTCGACTAACATCTAACGCCTATCCAGACATCACGTTGTGGGATGTGTATCGAAGTAATATTGGGCCAGGGTAAAAGCAAAATGACGGAACCACATCTGGGCCATGAGCCATCTACAATCGGGAAAGATAAATAGTTGTACAGATAAGCAACTCCGGGTTGCTAATTGCAGCCCAGATTTGACCCGGATTAACCCCTGAAAATCATAAATATTATTTGTGCAAGTGGATCTGAATTAAATAATGAACTGCGGTCCTTTTCTCTGACGTATTTTTTAATTATTTTTTTATTTTATATATATTAGATTGCTATAATATTTTTTTTACAAAAATTAATAATCCAAACGATATATAAAATCTTTGACTCAGTAATTCTAATAGTGATAATCGGATTCAGGATGCTAAATTGCTTGTTTGTACATTGTCAAGTTGAAACAATGAGGTAGCTCTACCTCATTGTCTAGATAGACATGCAAGAGAGGTAACTCATTGATCGGAGTCTTTTAAGTTTCCATCTTTTGTAGCATTCGATGTGTGCAGGGACATTTAAGTTTGATGAAATGAAATTTCACGATCTTATTTATTAATTACTAATTAAAATAAAATCTTGATTAAAGAAGATTTTGTTGACACCAAAATTTTATTACACTGCAAATAAAACCCACAATAAAGTGAAGCGTTATTTACACTCCAAGTTTATTAATCATATTTTTACTATCATTTTAATCATATAGTTTTCACCTATTAAATTATAAAATAAAATAAATAATGAGCGTGTAAATAATAAAAAATAAAATGCAAATACCATTTTCTTCTCTTCGACAAATTAAAAACACGAATGAATAAATAAATTAGAAGGCATTAGTCGCTGCATGAGGTGACGGGAACAAGACACGTTACCGCATCCACCAAGTGGCACTCATCCCTCTCTCCCACCTTGCCAACGAAATCTCAACGCCGTGGCTGCCAGCCAGCCTGCCACTCGGCCTAGCTTCCCCAGGTAGAATCCTCCCCGTCAATAACGATTCAAACAAACATTAAAGACCCACACCCACAACATATTTTTCTTCAGCAGCAAAAAAAATAAAAGTTGAGAAAATGAATCGCGTAGATGATGATACCAAAGAAACTGTTACGTTCAGAGCCGTAAGCGGAGACGAGGAGGGGCGAAAGCGTGTGGAGAAAGTGGAAGTAGACAGTCACAACGCGGACACGCTTAAGTACAAAGAAAAGAAACTGATTGACAAGGGCGTGCAGAGACAAGACCGTCGTCCTATTGATGGGATTCCGTTAGGCCGTCAGCATAAGTCCGGTCACGGGGGAAAGTATACGTGGGAGGGGCCCAGGGACACCGCGGAGAATGAACTGGGTGCAGCTCCCCCTGCCATAGATGAAAACGATCCAAACTATGTGGATGAAGAGGCGGAGGACAGGATACTTAGGGGGGAGGTTAGTGGGGTCGCCGGATTGGTGGTCGGAGAGTTGGAGCTCCCTAAACTCGCTGAAGAAGGTGTGGCTAGGATTGATGTTGATCCTCAATTGCAGACCAATATTTAGTTTTTTTTTTTTTCTGTTTTTTCAATTGGAATGATTTAATTTTGTAACTGGGGAGGTTTAGTTTGTAGGCATGCAAACTTTGTGCTTTTCTTTTTATTTTTATTTTCTGGGTAACTTAAACTCAGTAGTGCTTTTCTGCCTTTTCTTGAGCAGCCCTGCTGTGTCGGTAGCGGTAACATTTTTTGTGGCCGCTTTTTAGTTTTTTTTTTCCCCCCCAGTAAAATCAGCGCTTCTGAGTTCAGTTCTCAATAAGCACCAGTATTAGTGTGCAACTGTAATTGAATGCTTGATGGAATAAAGAAACATCTTTCCTGTTGAATTTTAGTGTTTCCAATAAAATTGGGAGCAAATTATCTAGTAGCCATTAAACCTTTGAATAGTTCAAATATTAGTATTATATTTTTACTCACTAAATTATTAAAAATATAAATTTTGCGTCATTTCAATGTTAATTAAAAATATAAATTTTGAGTCATTTCAATGTTATTGTTAATTCTGTCAGATTTAACTATTAATAATGTGTCTTGTGACTCGTACATATCTTCAAATTTGATAGAGTTAACGATGAAATCAAACAAAATGTTCTAAAATTTATATTTTGATAGTTGAATAAGTAGAAATACAAAATGTCGTAAAATTTATATTTTGATAGTTGGATAAGTAGAAATATAATATTATTTAAATTCATACATTCGATGGTAGAACAATGTAAATGTAATATTAATCATTAAGTGATCAAATATTGACTATTAAAAAAATTTAGTGATTATCAAAATACTTTACTCTAAAATTGGAGTTTCGACACTTTTGAAGCTACGCGAATCTTCTGGCATTGTAACAGGTATCGGTTATTCTCGTTTAGCACCGGCACCATCATCGTCTGCGGATGATTCTATTTATTGTCTATCTAACTTCCATTGCTACAGTCGTACGAGGGGATGTAGCTCAGATGGTAGAGCGCTCGCTTAGCATGCGAGAGGTACGGGGATCGATACCCCGCATCTCCACTAAGGAGTTATTATTCCAACCGCAAGTATGGACCGCGATGATGCTAGCGCTCCATGGTTCCTACCTTTTTATCCCGCCATCACAGGACCCCTGATTTCCCAAAATGAGCAAAAGTAGAGGAACAATTACTTTTTCCCAACCAAAAATCTTTACAACTTAAGAGTACCTGCAAGTGGGGTAAATAGGGTTTGTAGACAATACTCTTATTCTCAGGTAACTTAAACTTAGTGCTTTTCTGCCTTTTCCTTAGCAGCCCTGCTGTCTAGGTAGCAGTAACATTTTTGTGCTCGCTTTTTAGTTTTTTTTTTTTAACTAGTAAAATCAGCACTTTTGAGTAGGGACAAGCAAAATTACCCGCTAGCTAGAAAACTTGCCATATTCGATTTGCTCTGATCCGAAAATTAGAATACTCGATCTGCATTATTTGATCAGGTCAAAAGGAGGTCAGGTACTTGTTTAGATGCGAAGCAGGTTAAGATTACATAATTAAAAAAATCCATGAGTATTCAATTCGTCCTTCATATATATATTTTCTATTTTTGTACATATATTATAAAAGAATATTTTTAGAGTTAAATAAGCAATTTCATTGAACAAATTGCATTACAAATATAAGAGACTATAGTTTATTTACAATATTCATTTGTAAAGATCATGATCTTATATTTTATAGAAAATAGTTTAATTAACGTGGAACATATATTTAAAAAAAAAGGGTACTTATTTCAAAGTTTTATTGATTTTAAATTCTTTTAGATTCTTTTCTTTTTTTCTTTTATTCTCTTCTCATTTTGTTTTTTGATGGGAGATTTTTTTTAGAAAAAATTTTTTATTAAAATTTAAATGAATGTGTAAAATGCAAAATTAAATTAATATAAATCATTTTTTAAAATTAAATGATAAATTGGACGGGACAAGCACTTTGTTGATCCTGACTCTATCTCAGCGGGTATCTTATAACTAGATACTTATTGATATGCAGGGTGAATAATAGTTAGAAAATGGTTGACTGCAAAATACGGGTCAAAATAACCAAATGATGGACGGGACGGGGTACCCAACTTGCATCCAATCCCACGTCTAAGTTCATTTCTCAATAAGCACCAATATTAGTGTGCAACTGTAATTGAATGTTTGATGGAATAAAAGAAACATTTTTCCTGTAGCTTTTCAGTGCTTCCAATAAATTTGTGAGCAAATTATTCAATAGCCATTAGACCTCGAATGGTTGAGTTTTGGTAATTCAATCATTAATAGCATATTTTTACCCATTAAATTATTCAAAGTATAAATTTTGAGTCATTTCATATGATGTCATTGATAACTTTGTCAAATTTAACTATTAATAATGTGCCTTACGAATCGTGCAAACCTTTAAAGTTGGTAGAGTTAACGATGGAATCAGACAAAGTGATCCAAAATTCACACCATTGATAGTTCAACGAATAGAAATATAATATTATTTAAATTCACACTTTTGATAGTAGAAATATAATATTAATCATTAAGCGATCAAATTTTGACTTTCGAAAAAATTTAGTGACTATCCGAATACTTTAATCTAAAATTGGAGTTTGCGACACTTTTGAAGCTACGCGAATTTTCTGGCAATTTAAATTGCAAATCGGTTATTCTAGTTAAGCACCGGCACCATCATCGTTTGCGGATAATTCTAGTTGCTGACCCCGTAATATTCCATTCCCCATTCCCACAGGATGCACAAGAGGGGATGTAGCTCAGATGGTAGAGCGCTCGCTTAGCATGCGAGAGGTACGGGGATCGATACCCCGCATCTCCATTATGGAGTCATTATTATTGCCAACCGTCAGTATGGACCGTGATCACGCTAGCGCTCCATGGTGTTCTTGCTACCTTTTGCTCCCGCCATCACAAACAAGTCTCCTGAATTCCCAAAATGAGTGAAAGTAGAGGAACAATTCCTTTTTCCCAACCAAAAAATCTTTTTACAACTTACAAGAGTACCTGTAGGTGGGGTAAATAGGGTTTGTAGACAATACAGTCTTGCATATCTTTTATATTATATTTTAATGTCGTCGGTTGGCACTGCAAACACGTTCTTGCATTAGAAAATCGCACAATTTCGTTTATTTCTAATGGTTGATTACCAAATTCAAGATCAGTCATTTGTACAAGAATCTCAATCAATGGAACTCTAAAAACATAGCACTGTTTGCAAATTGACTGCCAAAACGATGTTGGATTTGGGGATCATAAAGGTGATTGCTGATCAATCACCGACACCATTCGATCTCATCAAGCGCCTACGTCTGATTGAGATGTAAAGAATTTTTTTGTTTTTAGCATTAGAGTTCACCAGTTTAGTGGGTTACAACAATCTGATACCATGCATGAATTGGTATTCGATTATTGGATAGGTGATGGCGATGCCTCTCGCATCATGGTTTTGTACATGCCCAGTGTTATTTATTTAGCATAAAGTTAAAACACGTTAAACAAATAAGCAAATAAATTTTAAAGAAAAGGCATAAGGGTAAATGCCGTAGAGGTATCGTCGTCCTTCATTGGCTCTCTCAGTCGTCTCATATGTTCGCAAGCTTCTATAGGATTCTTCTCTCCATCTTCGAGGAGGGCCGGGGGCTGGACCAAGCTTGTCGTCTAACGGCACCATTATATTGTATATAACAATAACAATAATAATAATAATTCTGAGTAGTATACGATCGATCAATGTAATTGCTTAATTCAACGGTTTAGGATTTTCTAAATTTTGCAGGACTTTTACAGGTAGGTAGTTTGTAACACTCAACGTATGCATGCCTAGGAAGTACTATCAATTATGTAGTAAGAAGATTAAGAAATCAGAAGCGGAGGCCATGGCAGTATTTCGTAACTACCCGCCAACCGCAGAATGTCCATACTTGTTTGTTTGCAACTTTACACCGTCAATCATACGTTCTCCAACTGTACATACGTTCCTTCCTTCCTGGAGTACCTAATTTTGTAGTATAAAGTTATGTTTTCAGAACCGGATCGGATATCGACTCGGTCGAGCTCAGAGGTTAGGGTCAATGGGTTTAACCGGATTCGATAGGGGTTGAATTGGATGATATCAAAAATAAAATTTATTTAAAAATTAAAATGTTATATGTAAAATACTTAATAACATGTTAATATTAATAAAGGTATATTCATATATATTTGATGTTTCAAATATATTTAATAAGAAAATACAAATAAATTAGAGCAATCAAGTAGCAATTAATATTATTTAATAAGCATTAACATGTTTAGAATTAAAATTATGGATTTAATTGAAAAATAACACCAAACTTTAAGATAATATTTATAAAGTATGAATATTTGAGGTATGTTAATAATTTTTAACAACTTAAGGATCAAAACATCATATTAAAAATATTTTGACCTTTTTTTTAAAGAAAAAAAAAAAGAGATCGGATTCATTTTTTCGATCAAATCCGGTTTTTGATCTGATTTGACCGAATTTTTGATTTTTCAGTTTTTAGGATTAATTCGGACCGGACAATTGGCCAATTCTCGGTTCGGCCGTCCGGTCCGAGTTTTAAAACAGGGAGGTATAAACCACACTTTACGCAGCTGGCAATATCCTTCCCTTCTACTTAGTAAAGGTTATCGTGCATGTATATATAAACCTGGCGATAATAGTACCTTTGATAATCTTCTTGACTTCTTTCTTTCCAGAACCAGAAGATCTCCAAACCCTTCCACCCGATCGAGTTCCCAGCTCGATATAGAGTACTGGTAGCCCTTCCAGCTCCAAGTGTTCCGGCCGCTTGGCTCAACTTCCTACGTACGTAGTACTAGTAGTATTAACTACAGCACGCTAAGTCTTGCAACGCAGTAGTATTTCAGGAGCGGTAGCATTCCCAAGGAATTCTTATTTGAATTGGTTAACCCACTACGATATGACTATAAGTATAACAACAGCAGAAGCAACATTAATTATGAGTTGGCAGTGGCACCGTCCAACATTTTTCTTTTTTAAGTTTTTGTGAATATGGTGGCCATATAATACAAATGTCCTGGAGAAATCTCATGGCCAAATTGTTTAGTACTCCAGAAGAGCAGATGGTATTTGACCTTGGTTTTCTAACGGTACTACGTCCTATGCGAGATGAACAGGTCGCTAAAGCTTTCTGAGGTCAATCTCCTAACTAATGCATGAAGCAGAAAGCCATTTTCTATTGCTGTGGAATACCAGTAATCCTCGTAAACTATTATGCCACGAGACGAGACTAATTCTGTTTGTCAATGGAAACGAGATAAAAAGGCGAAGGAAGGCGATCAACA